TGAATTGGCCCATTGTGCGGCAAATTGCTGTGTTTAGATAATAACATGTACTGCTATCTCAACTATCGCGTGTAAGATTGTTGTTGCAATTAGTTGGAGTGTTTGTTGAATTTATCGTGTAAACATCGAGATAATTTACTTGTTTGATGTGAAATTTTGCTTGTAAACTCAGTAGCTAAGTGTGCAAATAATTTGATCAACGTATAAATCAACATTATTAATGTAAACTGATTTTTTAAACGCTTCAAAACGTTCTGCGTGTATTAAAAATCGAACTGAACTTAAGTACGCACTAAAACTCTACAGGTTCACGAGAGGTTATAAAAGTTTTATGTTGAAATGCAACGCTACACGGGGAATATCAGCTATCAAAGTGAACATAAAAAACGTTCGGACGAGAATGTGCAATGCGCATATAGTGCACGCGTTATGTTTAGTCTACTGGCTCGACACTTACCTAACAATATTTGAAATCTGCATTCCATAAATCTATATAAGCCATAAACGATGGAATTTCATAAATACCTACGCTCTACTATTTCATCGTCGCACATATCGATTTGTTGTTTAATAAAACGTTTCTACACGATTCATTCTGTCAAAAAATTGAAATTTGTGTTTTTGTTCATCTATAATATAAAAATGAATCGCAAAATCTGTTGGTAAGCTCATAACTCAACAACGTTTAGGCCAATTTGGTCAATTATTTTTTTAAAATGTTTGTTATAGTCCAAGGATGGTTTTTACGGCGAGAAAAATTCGAATAATTGCCGGGAAAACCTTAAAGGCCGCCCTTTTCTATAGATTAAAAGTTGGCATTGAGATTCAATCATAGTTATAATTAAATAGTTGAATCCGAGATGGTGCGCTGAAGTGCATTATTAGCAATTCTTTATATATTTAATTTCTTTAAAATAAAATTGCAAATCTTATTGATAGAATTGGCACATACTAGGTTGAGAACAAGAGAGTAAAAACGAATTACATTTTTATTAAACACTACAGGGACGAAGTCGCGGGCAAAAGTTAGTTACAAATAAAAAATCATTTTCTTCACAAGATAAAAGTAATCGATAATGTTGAATGGTATATATTAATATATAATATTCAATCGGCAGTGCACCGTGCACCTTTGAAATTAATCCTGACGTTTTTTTGATGCAGAAGGCGATTATATTCACGCTGTTATAAATAATAACATGTAATACCATCCGGCATGCGATGTAAAGACTAATTGCGCCTGCAGTTGCTCACTTGCTTACTAGACTGCTGATTAAAACACGAAACAAAAACGCGCCGTGCATGAGAAAACGTTACACGTCGTCACAGTCTGGATTCAATTAAAAACTAAACCAAGCCGGCGAATGCAAACTTTTCATTATTTTAACCATGGCGTTGCCGTCAGTACAGGATCGTAAGTTGTTGATCTGACACCACGTGGCGTGTAAGATTCACTGGTCGGGCAGGTTTAAAAAAGTGCGACATGTCTGTCACTGGTTCATGGTGGAGAGCCAAACACCTCGTTAAATATTTATTTATTTCGCTTGGGGTATAAAAAAATTAACGTTGTTTTTGACGGAATTATCTTTCGCTGGTGTAATTGCAGGTTTTCAGTGGGTAATCATAGGTTATTATCCAATTTCAGTGGAGTGATCAGACAAGGGAAGAAAAAGTGTATTCGAAACATGTACATTGTAAGAGTTTGATACCGTTATTCAGGATCTATAATTTATGCTTCATGGAGATCGTTTGATTAGGTTACAAATGTTTTAGAGTTTTTATCAGCGCTTTGCAACAGATAAACTTACTGTTTATCTCGTCCATCGATCGAAAACTGTGTTACTCGTTTTTATGAATTATTACTTCCAACAGCAACTGTTAGAGGAAAACTTAAGCATATGGTAACCGAAAGTAGTTGATGTGCATGTAAATTAAACTATTAATTAACTCTGTTTATATATCTATGCCGAATATTTTACTTTTAATTCATCTGCTGGGTAGTAATTCTAAATTAATATAAATTATTATGTTAATGTTGTTGTCTATTTTATGGAATCTGTCATAATTCAATTTAATATTATATTATCGTGCACAATTTGCTGTATTCAATTATGCGTATATTGATATCGGCTATAAATTATATTAGGCGTCATTTTAAGTGATAAATAATTAAAGCGATTAACTAATTATACTTCTTGATGATTTATTGAGCCTTTGCGTTTGTGGCGTGATAAATACCTCTAATAGAAAAGCCAAGAACTAGAAATCGGCGACATTATGTTTATCTACATGTCTTTATTTGCTTTATTATGCATATTGACATTTGATGCGATGTGAAAGAACTCGACAAGCGATGAAAGTACCGCTTCTTTCATTCTAAAAGAGCAACTTTACTTTAAGTATTATAAAGGTCAATTTATACATTTTTATACGTTGTAATCTAAAGGATAAATATAGAAAGGAAATATTATATGACTAATTAGTCTAAGTTATATTTTTCCTACAGAAAACTATAAATTCCTTTTCACATACTATCAACTTCTTTACATTTACACGTTTTATATGAACAGTAGAAAGGCTTAATTAATCGTAAATATTTGTATAGTTGTGCAGAAGAGCAGCTTGAAATATAAACGTCTTAATAACTTTAAATGGCTATTATTTTGTTTTCATAATTAAACTGTAAATCGCATAGTAGGTAATAACTTAATAGCATCCTGGGTCAAAGTATGTAGTATAGAGTGGCTAAACGGGAGTTTTAATCACGAGATTCATTAAGAACGAGCGTAGCTAAAGTACTTTAGTCACGCCTTTGATTTTCCGTGTTAAAAGACAATTTAAAGGTGGAAGTAGAAAAATATCTTTAAACCAAAATTATTTAAGTGTTTTTTGTGGGAAAGCGTAACAAATAAACGAACAATCTTATTTTCTCTATTTGTAGTAGGGGAAGGTAGCCTAAGTTGGACCAGCGCCTAAGTTGGACCACCACGATATCCGCGGACTGTTGATGTTTTTGCAAAAATAGACAGGCCCCTTGTTTTACTCGTATATATAAACAATTGATGCAACTATTTGGGTTAAAACTTGCCGCGTGCTTTCGTCGTGACAACAACTTTTTGTATCCTTGATTATCAAATCTATTATAACGACGTAAGTGCATAAGCTGTCAAGCTGTTTAAACGTTAGATTTCACGATTATAATTATATCATCAGAAAGCTGATATATTTATCTATAATTTATAGTATTAATTTGGCGAGGATTGTCGTTGATCATTAAATAAAAATTCTTCAAGTTGCCCAATTTGGACCGAAGACAGGCACCGGGTTTTAACAGGGAAAACGTATATCATTTTTTTGATCTCTTAGAAAAGCTTGTGGACGAGCACAAATCTTCGAAATGATGCAGTGTATGAAATGCCGCACTTTGGTTTATACAAAATGTGCTTGTGTTTCTGCTAAAACTAAAATTTACTATTGTGTCAATTGCCGTTAAAAAAGCATGGTCCAATTTAGGAAACCGCGCGGTCCAATTTAGGAAACCGGTTTCTTAATTTGGACCAAAAACACAATTTTTTTAAATTGAAATTTGAGGGGTATAAATATAATTTTTACTTAAATCAAAAATATCATTTTGTTGGTAAGCCTTGTGAGTTACTTTTCCGCTACTTAATTTTTATTGACAGTTTATATGTGGCTCTATAAATCGAAAAATATAAAAATGGTCCAAATATGGCTACTTTCCCCTATTAGTTAACATAATAACATTTTCTAAAATGAAAGTACTATTAAATCCAAATAAATCTTCAGCTTTCAAATGAAAAGTATCGATTTATCGAGTCCTTGCCACATTTGCAGTTGACAGTTAATTTTGTGATCTGTTTCCTCTCCTAAAACAAATCTTGTCTGGTAGTACCTACTTCCTCTAAAGTATCTACATATACGCAAACCAAGATGATAATGTTTGATTTTGTATTTTGTGTACACAATCTTAACTGCCTGCTACATTGCTATTAGTAATGAGTGTTCGATCCACCTCTGCGGTATTATTACCCCCTAAACGAAGGGTGCTCATGATGAGATGATGATGACATGGAAATAAAATTTTGTGCAAATATTAAATTTACGATATCATGTGCACAAGAGGTCGTGATGGCGTGTTCTAAAAGTACATGTAATACAGATCGTAATTCGTATCTCTAAAGCCATTTGTGGTATCGACTCCAACGAATATCGAATATCATTTCTTTCGTGTCTTTATGAAGTTATAAATGGTTTTTATATGCAAAATAAACAACGTACAAGAAAATTGAATTTTTCTTCGTTTTTTTGAAAATTAGATATATTTATGCCAAGAGGATATTAACCAGCTGACACAGCATTGAACTGCTCAGATTTCCTTATCATGAAAATGCCTAATTTATTTTTTCTCCTTTTATGCCATTTTTGCATCGCGTTTTTGAACTCAAATTACCCGCTATCCGCTTATTATTCCCCGATATTGCTACTCCTGGGCTTGGTACTTAGTGCTTGGTTAATATTAATGAGACGAAGCCGTATTAAACTACCGCGGTGTGGCTTTGCTTTAAGCTCGCCGGCGGCGTGAGCAAGAAAAAGAAACCCAAGCGACATCTATATCCAATAAAATAGAGATGCAGCAAAGCAACACGCTGCCTGCACCCTCGCACCAAGAAGCGAACTAAGGAGTCGCAAGAACAGCAAAAGGAAGACGAAGGAATCAGCCGGGGATTATTAGTGATTAGCGGCGAAGTAGACGGGACATCGAGACTGCCGTTAGGCGTAATTTTATACTTTGCGTGGCGATGGTGCTTTTGCTTTTGTATAATTTAATAATGCAGCAGTGACAGAAAATAATGCCAAAACATTACATGCAACGTTGTGTGCGACTTATGATTAAGCGCGTGTCGTTAGGCAACCCAATTTGCATCGTGCTGTTTTACAAATCGCGCATGAAAGTAAAATGCTTATTATTTCTGTTGCAGATGACTTGAAGGTGCAACTGACAGAATGTTTCCTCGCGTGGTGCTCCACGTGTGCCTGCTAGTCGTGCACACGCTGGCCGTTGATCCATGTAAGTATAATGTAATTAATTTACTTGCGCTTTTTGAGTGCGCGGCTTCGTGTCTAAAGTGTCGAATTAAAAGTATTACCACCAATACTTACACTACTACAACACGGGTCGTAACGCCATCGGCAGTTCTCGTGAACAACAATCGGACGATTAAGAGCTGCGTTTCGTTCTTGTTCCGCGTCGTGTACGCAAGCGAATGAAGACTAATTTATTGGGTGCGCACGTAAGTGCAGTAAGTGAATGGAGGCGGTTCGTCGGCGTTCGGTTTTATCCTCCTCGGGCTGAGCACACGAGCCCGTAGTTACATTTGGCGCATTGTTTCGATTAAACAAGGCGTGTAATTGCGTCGCTTATACGCCTGTACACGACGCCGCGCAGTCGAGCAGCCGCGTCTGTTGTTTCTCGTTATTGTTCACTTAATCAATCAGAATCACTCACAATCGTTTAGTCTTTAGCTACGGCGACGGCGTTTACAATAATTAAATAATGTAGTTTTCTTGTTACATTTGGTTAACTTTGATTATCCATTAATAAAAACTTACTTTTAGTGAATTAAAAATATTAAGAATAAATCTTTATAAAAGTGGTTAAAGTTAATTTTTTTTCTGCATTAAAATCGAAATACTTGAAGTAATGATTTTTGTGTAAATGTTTTTCCAGCACAATGCATTGCCCCGCTTGGAATGGAAAACGGGCAGATCCGGGACGATGACATCACTGCCAGTTCGTCCTTCGATAGCGGCAATGTCGGTCCACATCAAGGACGGTGAGGATCACGAAAATTTATGCTAATCAAATAAGACACATCCTGAAGACCGTCCCTTTTATCCATTACAAGGCTTTTCCTTCGAGGTTATGATACAGAGTGTTCCAAATTCATACAAAAAATTAGTTATACTAGAAAATAACTTTTAGTAGGCGTAAAAATTCTTTTGTAGATAATGTTATTGTTGTCAGTGATAGTCATGGTAGATATACCCATTTGGAGTGCTCTTTTTAATGCAAAAGTACAAATGAGTATTTCCTTTTACACTGCGCTCCGCTTTTGGTTTTATTGTCACTTTTTGTTTTTTGTTTCTCCGTGCTTTTTACTTGAACACGATGATGCCCTCCATCATTCATATTTCTTCTTGGTAATGCCCAAACTTGGAATTCATACAGGTATAAGCAGTAACCAACCATCACCACCATCCATCATTTTGTATTATGAATCGAATTCGCTTCGCATTTCAACTTTGCGAATTTTCCAAACACCAAACAGGATTCTTCAAAATTCCCTCAAGTCCAACCGGCCCGAAACTCGCGCCACGCCATTTATAACTTCATACTTTAATGCAAATTCAAATACACACTCCCGTCTCCTCCACCACCCGCCGACAATGCAAACAAAACCGTCGGATTCGTACACGCCAAAACTCCCACAAAGACAAACCGAAGAAAATGTAAATGGGAAAAGTAAAACAGCCGCACGAATAAAAGCATAACTGATAAGGTGGGAATTTGGCGAAGGCGGTGGCGAACTCAAAGTGCGCGCGTTTTACAAATGAAAGGATTGAATAAAGGCGCGCAGATTAAATAAGTGAAGAGAATGGAATAACTCCGGGTGAAATGGGAAAAAGCGCATTCGTGAATTTTCCGCATTTTCCGCGCGGTTACCTAAGCTTACGGACGGCTGCTTCACAGCATTTATTTTGTTGTTTGATTTGGTGCTGCGCCCGCCTAATGGAAACTAATCAAAGGCTAAGAAACTGAACAGAGAAGAAAGAACCAAGACGGAATCAACATCCGATTTTCTTTTATGTGCAAAAATCGAATCTGAGAACGGTATTTCTTCATAAACAATATTCTTTTGTTATTCGTAAAGTTCTACTAATTATTCACTTGAAATTATTATTTGAAAAAGTTTTTATTTACAAAATATGTGTTTGTTCGATTTCTTCAAGCGAAAATTTCTCTCTCTCGAAATATTTAATCTTTAAATCGCGATTTCTTTTCGTGAGAATAGAAAATAGGCAAATATTGACAGGGAGCACACTTGACGCTGCCATTTTCCAGGTGTTTGTTCTCTTTTACCTTTCTGCATCCAAAGTGAGCCTAAATATCTAGGCCATGCTCGGCAGATTTGCAGACATAAAAATTTCATTTGATTCCTCTCTCGATTCTCATATTTCCCACGCTGATATTACCTTTTTTTCACCTGAAAAATCGCGCGTAAGTTTTCTCATTCGTGACGTCTTATCGCAATGTGTACTGGGAATATATGAATAGCGTTGAAGGGAGCACGGTGATATCCACCTCGGAAAACTCGACGCATTGAACTGCTCGAGAAAAAAAAACCGCAAAAGATCAATGAATAATGGATGGGCGCTTCGATATATACGAGTATGAAGCGCGTTAATACTCACGAGACTTCATACCACAAAAACGTCTTTTTGTTACTCGGCGCGTGAACTTTCATCGCCTTCATCCGATTATTCTGAATTTTATTTTGTTGCGTAACTTCAATGACACAGCCAGATTTAGACGGACATTCAATTATATCCTTAATATTTCCACCCTAAAGGTACATTCCTGCCTAAACACCATAAATTTCGACTCCCCCATCAGATGGTAATCCTGCAACCTATAAAAATACATGGCTACACGCATGGGGCATTCATAAAATGTGCAATTTATGAGTAATTAAATAGAACTTGCGTTTAGCAGGGTGAAATGGAAATAAAATACAGTTTTTATTGTTGTTTTGCACATTTTATAACACACTCGTTAAGCCGGCGTATGATATGTATTGTTTTGGAAACAATTTGAAAACAATTTTATTTCCAGCGTGCGTACGGAGAAAAACGGCGGTGCATGGTGCCCACAGAATCAGGCAACACAGGAGCCCAACGAATGGATTCAGATCGATCTGAAATCTACGCACATGATAACAGCCGCTGGGACACAAGGACGCTTTGGGAATGGACAGGGTGCCGAATTTGCAGAGGCTTATACTCTGGACTATTGGCGGCCTAAACTGAACAAGTGGATACAATATCGGGCACAAAATGGTGAAGAGGTTAGTGCAGTTTTTTCATTTTCTAAAAAAAATCAATGCTTTGAGTTGCGGTATAAACACCGAACGGACGTAATTTCAGTAATAGCAGCGAATTAATTAGTTTATAAATGAACGCGTTTTAATTAAAAGTACAATATAGTCTTAGGACATAGGAAAAGGGCTTGGCATCCTTGATGATTCATAGATTACTCACTTCCGATAAACACAACACGACTATACACGCGATAATAAATTGCAACAAGACATTGCTGTGCGTTTTTACTTGTTGCAACATTCAGTCTTGGCAAGCCAACCGATTCGGTTCTTAATGACTGAACACAGATCTTTGTTACTTCGGTTTAGAAATAAAAAACGAAAATAAAATAAATTTTTCATAGAATTGGCTAATCTTGCATCTGCAGATTTATTTATTTGCGTTTGCTTGGATCCCAGAATCAAAGCGATGAACACATGGCTCATTATTACTTACTGGCGATTTATAAATAAAATGCGCAGGGCGTTAAAAGAGAACATCCAGCATGTTAACATTTCTTACTTCGTAATGATGATACTTCTGTATCTATTCATGTATCTGAATATTCAACATACTTGTGAGTATGTAGCGTAGGCCGGGTGTAGAAATGATGAAGAAGCGACACATTTTCATTCATAATTCTCCTCGCATTCATATATTAAATTTAATTTAAGATAAACATAGGATTTATGTGGCTTGCCGCAAAATGCGGATGTGCTTCTGGGTGTTTTGAATTTTTAATTCTTCTCAGCGAAAAAGAGTTGTGAGTGTCCTGGATTACCAACCAAATGAACGTGTTTATTTTTACGAATGCGTCTCAGCGGAAGATGTGTGTGCTAGCAACATGCAAGAGGAAGGAAAGTCGGGATTTCGAAATGATCAAAAGATTGCGATGAAATTTATTGCTCCTCTGGAGTGCTCTCTCGGCGTGCGGAGCACATTGCAATCATAACCGTTTAATTATTACGCAAATAAATATGAATGCACTTGCTTTGAAGACTTGGTTTGTTTTAATAGCAAAACAAAACAAACAAACAGATTTTATTATACCATTGAGAAACAACGTTTAATACATTTGACCTGGTTCAGGTGTGTATAGTGCTATTATTTCAACTAAAAGCACCATCCGAACACGTCATATAATTGTGCTTTTCAACGCATTCCAGGTGAGAATTTTTATTATCCTTTGGCGTTGATGTGTACGCTGAACGCGCGTTTACTCATTAGGGAAAAACGTCGAGGTGTGGCGCGGTCCGAATGCGTTACACGCGGAAACACAAAGAACCGCAAAGCACTCACTAATATATTTTCACACAAAACTACTATGTTATGGCACGCTTATAAAGGTGTTCGCTGCGTATGTGTAATGGCCGCCTCCCTCTATGCCTGCCTTACCCTTGATATAGTATTTTACGCCGGTGGCGGTAGGAAATACGGAGTGCCACTAAACAACTACCGCTGGAAGTCGTAGAAAAACGGGGAAACGCCGTAAGACTAATGCTGGAAAATCGATGCACTTGCGTGACGACCGCGAAACAAACAACAGACTGAAAATGGAAAACCAAAACAAAACAACTACACTTTCGGCATTTTCTAATAATAAATTTAATAATATTTGTATTCTGTGTTTCAAGGGCGAACAAGTTCGAATCGAAGTTAATTTTATGCATTGGGAATAAATATAATTACTTATTTTATTATATCTACGAGCGGTAATATTATAACTAACGGCCGAGAACTTCAATTTGCGCAAATGCATTCAACGCATTAATTTGAAGAGCGAATTTGTTTTTGCGGACGTACGCGCACCACAGCGAAGGCAATCTATTACCATATTAAATTAAATTATATTGTACCGAGCGCTAAGTACGTTTTGTCACCAGCATCAACGCGTATGAAAATGTATCCCGTATTTTACCTGACATTTTCCACGAATATTTTCATTAGTTTGAGTTAATTTTACTCTAACCAAATTGGTGCTGAAATAATTGCCCGGATTTACCAATTTCACATTCAAATTAGCAATAGAAAATTGAAATTTAAGCATTATGGATATTAAATTATTTATAACTACGCTGTGTTTCGTATTCATGCATTTAATGAATAAGATGTTTAAGTTTTTGTTGCAAAATTTACAAAAAAAAAACTTAATAACCGGCTGTAAACTATAAGTAAAGTTGACTTTCTTCACTTGTTACACGAATTTACGACATTTGTAATACGGTTTTGGACATTTGGTTTTAATCGTTCAGTTAACCGTTTTATTTTCTTGTGCCCACATTAAAATTGTACTTACAAGACATTACTGCATATTAATGATCCTGTAGCTTGTAATTAAACATCGCGTAGAACCAAATTTTGTGTGCCTTGAGAATCTCCCGCAGTTCGCGTGCGCAAGATGGTGAAAAATTGACATTGTCGAGCACACTAACCCGTTAATTATAATAAATTATTAAAATAAACACATCTAATGAGTGTTGAGGCGAAAGTGGCTAATTAAAATGCAAGATTTACGATCTGAAAATCACGAGTGCACACATGCAATGCACTCACACACATTGCTCTTCAAGCCAACTTTTAGTGCAGCTTTAGAACGACGCATGGAATAAACAGAGAAAACATCTCACATCTGCTTCCACACGGGCAACTGTTGCGGCTCGGACACGTTTTCTCGCTGGAAATGTTCAGCGTTCATTAAATAAAACACTTTGCAATAATATCGGGCGTAATTATTCTTCGTCGCCTACGTGCACGCTTCGACTTTTCGGCGTCGCCGCGCTGTACGGCACGAATGTGACGTTTATTTCGCAAACTTTTTTGTCGTAATTTATTGCTACAGCTTGTTACTTCCAGCATTTTTGTGTTGTTAACCTACAATACCAGTTTTTACTACTGCATGGAAGGTTAGAAACGTGTCACTAACATATGCAACCAATAATACACATCAATTTGTTTGCTGGTTGAGGTATTTTACGTTTCAATGCGCAATTATAAACCGAGTTTAAGAGGACTATTAAAATTTAAAAACAAACATTTTGTGCTTTATGATCACGATAAAATTGAACATGTTGCCTCCTCGAGCAGTACGTGTTTACATTGCTTCTGATATGCGTTCAGTGTACGGAGTGCAGTTTGCCAGAAGCCGGTTCATCAATTACTGCTTACAGTTATTTATTTCAATGATGAAATGGCGAACTCCTCGTCGACTAGTAAATACAATTTCAGCCATTCTCTCGCTTTCATATATAAAATATAATGAATGAAACTAGCATCTTACCATTATCAGTACCTCATCTTGAGCTTGAACTTCAACTAGTCTTTACATCGTACTCGTATATATTTCACTTAATCCGTATACAAACTGTTGTGGAATAACATTGAACTTAGCGCACAGCATGTTTTCGACATTTTCCCGGAGCAGTCATTACGTAAAGCGTCCATATCTGAAAATCTAATGCTTGTAGTGTCATTACGTTTACGGCCCTTCGAGTGTACATCGAGTACATCGAACACATCGCGATAAGAGATCTTGAAAAGTTTAAATCTTCCACAGCCGTCGGATGTTTTAGAATCATGCGAGAGAAAACCGTGTCGAAGAAATTGGGTGGATAAGGATAAGTTTGTGTGGTGTGTGCGAGAGGATATGCTTAATACCGACCAACGTGCACGTTGTGGGCGCTATTAACATTGACGCACGGCTGCGAGATGAAATATAAATTGGACGATTTACCATTCCGGGCACGTATTCACTTATTTCGTTTTATCTATTGCTTTGATCGCACTTGTAACCTAAGTTTAAGTTTCGTTGAATGCATGAGTAGTCAAACTGCAAGGAGCAAGTTTATTATTTGTTTTAAAGTTAATTTAAGCACAAAAATACATATGTGTGAATACATTATATACGAAACTAGCTTTTGCCTGCAACTTTGTCATTAAATTTTAATGTATAGTTAAAATTTAATTAATATTTACTTTCTTGGGCCTTGTACGTCTCGATTTCAAGAATAAAAGCCGCAATTTTATTTAAATAACATTAAAAATTACGAATAATGTATTCTAGCGCCATCTCTGATTGAATTATTTAACTATAACTAAGATGGAATACACCTTTTTACCTCTTATTTAACACTTGTAATAACATTAAATAATAATTTATGACATCTTCTGCTATTCGGGGTGGAGACAAATTCAACAAAGCATAGATTATCAAAATCTGTCCAGCCGTTCTTGAGTTATAAATGTTGTAACTTACTCCATCTTGTTTTAATTATATCATATTATACATCCCGCTAATATTTTGTTTCTGCATAATGTAGATACACGGTTGTCAGAGGAATGCAAGGATTTAAATTGCTAACTGCCTAAAAATGCATTAATAAAAGATAACGTTTACTTGCGCTTTGTAAGTAAGTACTTACATACTAGTAGATTTGTTGGATTTACATAACCTCGAAATGTTGCGCTGCGTTGTGCAGCGCTCGGCTGAAGTATGTTTTAATTACGAGTAAATTGCGAAAGTCTTAAATTAAAAGAGGCACGAGAATTACGAGTCTGCCGCCGCCTTTGGAATACGCCGAAATAATGGAATATGAGTGGAAGCACAACTGGAGGCAGTGAACACACAGCGCACTTGCTTCTATTTCGGAACGGAGCGTAAACGGCGAGAGGGGCACGGAGAATAGTGCCAAGTTTCTTGCGTTTTATGCAGTTTATAATCGTTTCTACTGCTTGCGCGCGTTAACGCAGACGAAGAAAAGAAGCGGAACGTTTACGTTTCCTTAAAAGCCAAATCTTTATTGCTAGCAGCCGAATGCATCGCACCGAAAATAAGCTTTTGTGCAAAATATAAAATATTCAGTATTAATCCGGAAATTAAAAGTTTCGTGCGTATTTTTTTCTTTTTTGTGGATGGCAATATCCGGCGCTTGTTTACTTCGGGATGTATACCACTTGAAGGTGCGTCGTCGTGTGTTGTGCGTTGTTTGTTTTGGCAATGTGAAATTAATTTCTGGAATCGGGCGGAAAACACGATCCATCTTTGATGCAACCTCACCGGCCGCGATCCACCTTAACGACGAGGCGTGTGATCCTGCGGCGTGATTAATATCGAACGCAAACAACGAAAATGGGTTGTAGCTGCTTGTAGCAACATCAATATCAATTAACTGGGCACGCCACTTTTAATTATATCGCATTCGAAATTTTCCCCAGACGTTAAACAAAAGCAAAACTCATTACGAAACAAACAATAATGTTGATTGAAAAAAACCTTCATTCAATTTGGTCGACATTTTCGTCTAAACGATTCGTGATTTTTTGCAACCAAGGTGTTTTTTGTGTGTGAAATAAATTATGGTTTATGAATTACGTTTAAATTATTTTCATTTAATTATACGCCTGGAAAACGGTTTGTGCTTGGTTCCATTTATATTTCTTACGAACCGGCCTCGTAGATTTTAATCGAGTTCATTTTTTAGCATTTTCCGTTTTCGTTTTGCGTTTTTTTTCGCAATGTACCTACCTACGCTTGTTGCTAAACGAAAAAAACGCTGGGGTTGTACGCGTTGAGCTTTGGAATGGAGGGCAAGCGGTTTTAAAACCGTCTCACGTTTTCTGCTTGTTGTCATAATGAGGTTTTCCGACGAAACTAACTAACGAACACTTCAGGACACCGGAAAAAGCAGTTGGTGCAATGCACAGAGAGACAGATATAAGGAGTTAAAACATACCGAAAAGAAAAGAAGAAAGTAAATCGTATAAAATAAAGTTTTAATGTTAACCAAGTTAAAAATTATAAAAAGTATATTGCGAATCAAAGTAGAAGTGTAATATATCTTACATTTCTTTAAAATACCTTTATTGGCGAAATTGGCCCATTATAGGAACAAAAACAAAAAAATCATTAGTTATTCTACTATTTTGTAGATTAACCTGCGGGTAAAAACTTGTAGGTTATTTAATTTTTTATGTGCGCCATCTTGCGGCAAATATTTGAATTTTGTGCAGACCAACGTTCTGAGCGACAAAAAATCAAATTTTACACACTTAATATAATATACAAACATTGTGGTTTGACGTTAGCGTGAGCAATTTGATTCCATAATATATGCATAATCTGAACTTTGCTTTCTTTGTTTTTTAATAAATGATTGTCTGATTCTTGCGCGACGTTTACATTTTCATTTTGAAAAACAAATAGAAATGCTCTGTATGCTTGCTTCTTGTGCAAACATGCAACCACCACCACGCGGGCACAAAATGCCAGCAATATTGATAAACATTTTTATGTTCTAATCATTTGATCGTTTGTGCGTGACACTCAATTCCATTTCAAAGCGCTTGGCGTTATCGCGCATTTTTCATTTTTATTTCTCTTTGTCCCACCTCATCTCGCACAAACCCCCTACCCATACAATGTGATTGCTTTGTTTTCTTTGTGTGGTTTAATTGAAAATTTTTGAAATCAATAAAGTTTATAATAATTCAATTGTTTATTTGTTTCCGTTAATATCAACTTTTTTTATCTGAAAAGATTTAATGCTGAACAATTTTATTACTGAATTTTACATTAGTTCAAGGATTTTTAATCAGTTTTACAAGCGTACACGAAATAAAAACCTAGACGCGCACAGGGCGCCAATCGGTCGGGTATTTTCCCCCTCGACAGCGGCGGCGACGATTGCGTGACCTGCAGAAATTAGAAATTCTCGCATGAGTTCGATTATTATACCTACGTCGACCGCCATTACTAATCCAGGGATATCTACGGCAACAACCACCATCAACAACCGAATAACTTCTATTGCAAGTACACTGAAATGTAACACACAGGATACTACAGGCGGTGAAAGTCAATTAGAAAATTATCTTTGCATATTTTATTAATGCATTTATTTAGTGTAATTTTATGAAGTCTATTTCTTGGTGGTATTAATTTTTTAGCTTTAGATTAGGATATAATATTTTATTTTATACGTCCAGATTTATTATTATTGCAGACCCTGTTTTTGTGGTCTGTCCTTGGCGCCGGTGGAAAACCGCCCTCGCACTAAGCTCCATCGACAACGTCAAGCATTTTACATAAAATTAATATTACCAGCAGCCAAGGACGTAAAAAATTAAGCTGATGATAAAAAGCTTTGCATACATAACATAAGTATAACCAGAACTGAAAGGAATAAAATACAAATTATTTGTGTTAATAATTTATTTTCTATGGCAAATAACGAAGTTAATATTATTATATTACGATTTTTTATATTTAACTGTACTGAACTGACAAGAATACGCTCAAATATTCATAATTATTTCATGCGTCGATAAACGAAATTTGAGGTTAGAATTAGGTTAAAGCTCACTCATAGAAGAATGATATTTTAATGTAAAGCAATTTTTGACTCCATTAATCAATTTTTGTTTATGATGCACGCAATTTTACATTTAGCAATATTATATATGTGGTTGGCAAAATATTTTATTGATTGTCAAAAATACAAACGGAAGGCTTCTCATGACTCATCCATGCGCCGAAATTATGCAGGTTACCAGTATTCGGGGGCACTTTTATGCTTTCTATCTTTTTATGTTTTCACTTCGGACTCCGTATTTTTACTGGGACAGGAAACGCGTGCGGATTGTAACCCGAAAAAAATAAACTTTGGTAAACCGCAGAGGAGGAAATACGAGATACAAAACAAGGCAAAAGGGAAATGAAAATTGCCGGCGCCCGGCAGAATCATAAAAGACGTTTTTGTCTTTTTTGTAGAGCAATAAAACCTACATTTGCGAATTTTAAATTTTAACTGCTAGAACTTACCATCTAGGAATCTATTATTTAAATCGGATTTCAAGCGCACAGACTTGAGGTTAATATATTTTGAGGTTAGGTTAAGTTGACTATTCGTGGCTGGTTCGAATAATAAATGTATTTTACTATCTTAGAGAATTTAATTAATTGTAAATACCTGCACCATGACCAAATGGCAATAATGTGTAATTATTTAATAATAATGGCGGTTTTTAATTATTCGTTTATATCCGAACGAAATAATTTAACTTTGAGAATAGTCACTCACACCAAGACCACGGCTTTCAGTTAATTACTGTAATTTACGACGAAATTCAAGTCCTAAAGCTAAAGGGAATATTATAACATTGATTATAAATTAATTTGGTACGGCGAGACGTTCGTAAAGTTTCCGGAACGAAGAAACATTGCTAGTAGACGTCCGCTGCATGCTTAATTGTTGATAGTAATTATTTATGACATTTATGCGACTTTACGGCCGTACATTATGCTGACTTACTGGCGTCTAATTATTCTGAAAACAGCCGATTGTTCGGCCATCGCCATTGCGCACAACGGCGACGATAAAACGATCCCCGGTGAATGCGAATTCGCAACATCGGCGGCAACGGTTATTGCTTAGGCGACAACTTAAGACTTTGCTGAAACAATGGCACGTCAGCTGTATCCGCTATATTGCACTTGACTTACTTGTCGTAATAGTTACGAATTGGAATCGTTACGATTTCAATTCCTTGTCTCTGGTCGTTCGTTCATTAGTATGGGCAAAATGAAGCGGAGTAATGACGGTGCCATTGGTAGAACTAAGGAAACTTTAACATTTTAGTTAATCAAAGTGCCAGACAGCTGGCGAATGGGCGAGGAAATGTTAGACTTTAATCAATTACGCACTTGGTAACTTAGAATATGTCTAGTCGGTCAATACACTTCAAGAAAACTGTCTTATTGTCTATATTAACCTGCAGTATTTGTTGCAGGTGATTAATGGTAACATGAATACTTATCTAGAGAAGAAGAATCAACTGTATCCACCAATTTGGGCGAGCAAGATACGCTTCTATCCGTATAGTTTTCATAAACGAACGGTGTGCATGCGCGTAGAGCTCTACGGTTGTCGATGGACGGACGGAATCGTAAGCTATTCGATGCCGCAAGGGGACAAACGTGGCCAGAATTGGGAATTCTACGACTTTGGGTACGACGGCCACTGGGATGGCCACGAACTCAAGCACGGTCTCGGCCAGCTCATCGATGGCAAGTTTGGTCAGGACGACTTTAAGATGGACTTCCACGACGATAAGCAGGCGTGGATCGGGTGGAAAAACGACAGTCGCAACTCGAAGCCCATCGAAATTAAGTTCGAGTTCGACCGCGTCCGTGAATTCTCCAGCGTGCACATCTATTGCAACAATTTGTTTACAAAAGAAGTGCAAGTCTTCTCTGTGGCTAAAGTGCTCTTCAGTGTAGGTGGGAAAAGATTCAATAAGGGTGAGCCCATCACATACGAATATGTGGAGGATAGAATATTTGAAAGCGCCAGGAATATTACCATCAAATTGCATCATCGGGTTGGAAAGTATGTAAAACTGCAGTTTTATTTCGCCGCCAAATGGTTGATGATAAGTGAGATTACTTTTGATTCCGTTGTGGCTCATGGTAACTTCACTGTGGAGCCGGAACCTACCACACCACCACCAGTGAGACACCAAGATAGGAATTTCAATAAGGACAAAATAGAGATTCCAATTCCGGAATACAATCACACATTGAACGATCCGGCGTATTTGACATTCATTGTGATAGGTCTTATTTTGCTAATTGTGTTTCTGGTGGGCGCAATATTTCTGATCATGAATCGCTATAAGAACCGCAAGTTTAATCGCAGTCCGAATTCTTCTAATCATGACTTTCCCAATAACACATTGTCGCAACTTCAGCCACAGTCTGTTCTCGGCGTTAGTGAGAAGGGCAGCGGCCATATTGAAGCTTATGGCGTCACCGAGATTAACGATATCGATTCCAGGCGAAGCCATGGTACGCTCCAATCAAGTTTACGTTCAACGCTGCCGTTGCCACATTCGGGCCTGGAGCAGATGTGCGAGACCAACGTGTATCAAGAACCATATCAAGCGCGCATCGGTTCTTATTATAGTTATAGTACGGTAGTTATGGAAATGCAGAACACGTTGAGCTCCAAGAAGACGTATGGATTCACACCCACAGGTAATGTTTGTAATAAGATGATATTAGGCGTGTTTTATGAAGCGATTATTTAATGTGCGAACTTTACAGATGCCTATGACTATGCGATACCGGAAGCCGGAACGCTCCCGCTTCTTGGTGGTAATGGAAGCAGCGGGAGTAATGCGGGAAGTGTTAAAGGTGCTGCGGAGCGAGGCATATTGCGAAATGGAAGAAATAGTGTTACGAACGGAACAAGAATATCTAGGAATAGTCATAATGGCGTAAGTAGTTATTCAATGCATGCAAACGTGCATATTAATATTCAAATTTGTTTCAGTCACCAACTCAGCAGGAAGCCTTGAACGCCTTAAAGAGAAGACTGGAAGAAACTGTAATTCCAGAATTTCCCAGACACAGGCTTCGAATGTTGTCAAAGTTATCAGAAGGAGCTTTTGGAACAGTAAGTCTATTACAACAACTGATGAATAAAGATGACTATTAAATTATTTAATATTTCCAGGTGTACATAGCACAAGCAGACGGAATCCCCGAATATAATTCGGATCTGTCTTTGGGCACTAGATTGGTAGCCATTAAATTCTTGGGAGAGAATTCTTCGGACAAAGAAAGGTTATAAATTTTAATACATGTTTGCATTTTATTAAAGTTTAAGTTGTAGGGGGGACTTCTACAGAGATGTTAGAATTCTGTCAGCATTAGAGGACCAAAATATTGCCCGCGTGTTGGGCATTTGCAGCGTGGATGACCCGCTTTGCGTTGTCATGGAGTACTTGGACCACGGCGATCTGTGTCAATTCCTGAAGACGCACGTGGCCGCCGACAGCACCAATTTGAACACGTATGGCGTCAAATCGCTATCGTTCAACTGCCTTCTGTACATGGGTACGCAGATCTCGTCGGGCATGCGGTACCTGGAAAGTTTGAACTTTGTGCATCGAGATTTAGCGACGCGCAATTGTCTCGTCGGCAAGGCGTACCAAATAAAAATCTGCGATTTTGGTACCTATAACGAACTTTACGCCAATGACTACTACAAGGTCGACGGAAACACTCCGGTGCCAATTCGCTGGATGGCCTGGGAGAGCGTCTACCAAGTCAAGTACACGACCAAGAGCGACGTGTGGTCATTCGCCGTCACGCTCTGGGAGATATTGACGTTGTGCAGACGGCAGGCATATTACGAGCTGAGCGATCCGCTGGTGATGGAGAATTTAGCGCACATGCATTGTGATGATGGCCAGTATCTTTACCTACCGCACCCCATGGCACCTAAAGACATTTACAACCTTATGCTTGAGTGTTGGCGGCGCAACGACTGCGATCGGCCGTCGTTTAGGGAAATCAATCTGTTCTTACAGCGAAAGAATCTGGGCTACGCACCAACTTCATAGTGTTCTCGGCCGGAGCCGCGGTACTAATTACAAACGACAATTAAATATTAGGAAAGACTGTTTTGCAGCGCGTAATACTTATTATTAGGAGCTGATGGATGATTTTTAGAGGGAACAAAAAAATAGAACGTAAATGTTTTATGTACATAGAACACAGGGTGATATAATTATTTATACTTGACAATTAAGATGATGGAAGCAATGTAACAAATTACAACACATATATGAAGCTGCACGTACTCGATTTTCCAAATCAGGTGGTACCGAGTACTTCTTGGCACTTATGGAACTATATTTACCTAAATCGAAACTTATTTATTTTCACTAATAACTATTGATAAATCGACACAAAACAATGAAACGCTTTTTGACCTTTTTGCTATCGTACTATTTGAACCATCGTGGACATGACATTTGACTCAACGTAATCAGAAACGAAGTGAACAATTGAATAGTGATATGTATTCTAGAATGCTTGTGTAATACTTCTTCCAACTTTGATGTGTCTTGGAGAGGAGTACTAGTTTTCCTTGTGTTCAAAACGATGTACTGATTGTATCCGCAATGCTACGAGACTAACAAGAGATTAAAACACAACTAGGTACCAAAGAAAACGTCTCGTTGAATCAGTGACATTCCCAAATGTAATCATGCACACCAAATCAACTTTTATAATAAAATGTGCGCTATATGAAGATGAAAAACAATATTTATAAATGCTATAAGTAAATGAAGCTAAAGAAATGGTAAACGATATATTTAGAACGAGTACTCTTGATATTTGATATAGCTTGCTTTAACCATTTGTTACTTGATCACACTAATTGCACAATAATTCGATGACAATGTAAAATTAATGACTAGCTATAACGATACGTATATAAAAAAAAACGAAATGATATAATATAAATAACGATATTCGTGTTATTACCTATTATTATTATTATAATTATTATTGATTATTATTAATTAATGTATATTTACTAGTCAATTGATTCGCGCGCCTATGAATATTTAAGCAACAAACATTTACAAAGATACGCAAACAAATTCGAATTATGTAATAATGAAAACTTGTGGATGTGAGTGGATTTGAAACTGCGAATATTTTCTACTATATCTCTTGGTGCAAATAATGAACATTCTAAAAATTTCTGAAATCACAACTGTGCGTGATTGCAAATCAATGTAAAATGTTATGTACGAACAAATTACTCTCATCACATTCTGAATTCACAATAAGTTTTGATCAAACACATCTCACCATCACATGAATGTATATGTAAGTCACAACCATTTTTCTTTTACGAGTGCCAATTATTCATACCGATCATTTCATGTAGTTGCAATTGATATGCATTCCATTTAATTCTTATTATTCTTATGTCTATTGTATACCACATAAAATGTGTAATTTATAACTTTTTAACGATATAGAGAATACACGTGGCACGACTTACATTACTGCAATAATTAATTACGAATTTAAATGATTGATATTGATTGAGAAACAACCGGAACACAGAATGGAGTTGTACGAAAAGTGTTACTTGCTATTTTGTAAATTTGGTGCGTTAAAATGCAGATGAAACACAGAATCGGAAGTAATAAAAATGTGAATAACATATCAAGATTAATAAAAAGGCATTAATAAAACTACTGCGAAAGTTTATTGCTACCAGTGAACAGGTATTTCTTAAATGTTAGTATTACATTTGAATTTTTTAGCGATTGTAAATCATTACTGTTTATTCCTTGTGATATGTATACTTTAACTTTTCCACTCTGGCCAAACGCACTTTCGATTTTTCCGATATCACCGTTATCTAATTGAACATTCATATTCACAAATTTGGCCAAATCAGTTTCTTTTTTAAACATATTTTTGACGATTATGTTGTAACCATCTACAATGCGATCTATTATTCCTGTTTTTTGTTTGTAATTGTATATATGTACATTATTCAGAAAGTCTTTTTCTTTTGAATAATGAAGCAAACGACCCCAAAAGGCAAGGCGACAAGTATTCTTATGAATATCCATATCTAATTTTGATGCGATCACAATAGAATTATTAATTGCATAGATAGGTGACTCGAAATGTAATAACACAAAATACTTATCATATTTTACGTCGTCAAAACCATCAAGTTCAATACTTTCTACAAATTGATACTTATCTTCTATATCAAATGCAATATCATCCCCATTGCGTTTGAAAATAGTTATTTGTGCTAATACAGTTGCATAGCCAATAGTTATATGAAACTTAGCTTTGCTTTCAATTGAGTGTTTAAAATATTTAATAATATTTGCATCGATAATAGCATAATCTACAAATGATCCAAGTCCTGGTGAACAAACAATGCCACGTTCTAATAACTTAGGATCGAATTGTGTGACGCATATTCCTAGGCGATCTCCTTGGTGAGCTTCTTGCACAGGTTTCCTGAACATTTGCATTGATTTTACTTTCTTTGTAATCCCCAATGTCGGAATATCAATAGCCTACAATAACAAGTGAGACCTTATAACATTTTTTCAAGTAAGTATTAAACAACTCTTACATCATTTAGTTTAACTGATCCTTGAAGAATGGTACCAGTCATAACAGTTCCTTGCCCTTTAATTGCAAAGCAATGATCAACAGCAAACTGGAACAAATCATCCTTTTTTCTTTCAGGGATAAATGATAATTTCCCTATTGTATTAATCAACTCATCCAATCCAATGAAATTTTTGTCATTATTTACCGAAGTAGCTACAATTGGGATTTCTTGGTTGCCTAATACTGTAGTAGACAAAACTTTAGATACCTTAAGTTTCATCTGTAAATATTAATTATTATCATCTTTTTAATATCAGAGTATAAAATAAGTTTCATATCATACCTTATTGATTAATTGCTCTCTTTTTTCTTCTTCAAGCAAATCCACTTTGTTAAAAACCACAATAAACTTTTTACATGTTATCTCTCCAATTACAATACATTCTGCTGTCTGAGTCTGAATACCTTTAGTCACATCAATAACTAATAACATCATATCAATAATTTGAGCGCCGCCAATAATAGTACGGATTAAACTTGCATGTCCAGGGCAATCAACTAAAGTATATTGTAGAATATCTTTATCTGTAGCATTTTTCAAATGCTCCAACATAGGAACAGTAAAACTGCTAAATCCAAGATCCAATGTTATTCCTCTTTCTTGAGATTGTGGGTTTTTATCAAAAGCAGCAGTGCTTGATATTGTAGATAAACATTTAGCCAAACTTGTTTTACCAGAATCGACATGACCAAGAATCCCAATATTTATATTCAAAGCATTATACATTTTACCTGAAATAGAAATAGTATATTCATTACTATAACATAATCTTTTAAAACTATAAGTATAAAATTATAAAACAAATGGTGTATACCTGCTTGCCTATATTAACTGTTGTTTGAATGCAAGTTATTTCAAATTGCCGCCGCGAGTAGCGCCACGCAGTTTATCGATCAGCTGCGGAACTAGACAGTACTATTATGTCAGCCGCCTCGAGCAAGTCAGTCGTCGTTTGCCGTGATACAATTCTAACCTAAAACCAAATAAATTACAGACAATCCATCACAAAATACAAGAAAAACAATAAACACAAAGAGGCGCAGTGTATATTTTCGCGAGTGCAATGTGACTGAGTTTACAGTGCGTGTTGTGTAATAACATACCGTGAGGATCCTTGAACTGAAGAATAGCAACAACCGAAAGAACGCCGATATCGCACCCTGCGCGCTAATGACAAACGTCTGACTGCTTTGGTTTGCGTAGGACTGCCCGAGTTGAGAGCGGCGAACTCATACATGGTCACAACTCCGGAATTATGCATTAAACGAAGATATTCCGACTTTTCTGCTGGCCAGGAAGGTGAAGAAACCATTGTTTAATATTTAAGGTGAGTAATTAAATGGTTTAATTCGATTTAAATTGTGCAATCCTTTAGTTGATAATATTGTGTATGTGTGTGTGTTAATGAATGAATGTGGAGAGTACCGTATATCTTTGTATGAATTGGGGCTGTGCGAGTGACAAGCGCGAAAGGCGCAGTTAATTAACTTTAACAACGCTTTAATGCAACAGGCAAATGCGCGACAAACCGAAAGCTCACCGCGGCGAGGCGGAATAGAGCAAATCGTTTGTCCTAATTTTACTTTGAACCATTCTTATTCAACGTTTAGACCGTACACAAACAAGTGACTATAGTTTGTATTTCGAGAGGTGTAGTCATCATCTTAGTAAAAATAGCATTTATTAATAATAAAATATTTATAAAATACAGTTATTAGTTATAACATTTATAACTCATGAACGGCTGGACAGATTTTGATGATTTATGATTTGTTGGGTTTGTCTCCTCCAAGAATAGCAGAATAACTATTAAAATTTCAAAAATTATTACTTAAAAGGTAAGAAATAAGGGATAAAATTAACAAAAAGATTCATTCATAGTTATTGGTAAATAATTCCGAGATAACGCTAAATTGAATGATTAACAATTCTTATTTCTTTAAATTAAAATTGCGAATCTTATTGAGACAATCAACACATACTTGGGCTTAAAAAAGAAAGTGAAAAATTAATTAATTAATTTTATAAATTAAATGGCAATATTCCATGATATAACTGAACTTTTAAATTTAGCTTTATGCATTGCAAGTTGACCAACGCTTCCGAACTTATTTGTAGCTTAAAATGTGGATGCACTATGAAAATAGAATCAAAATAAAACCTAGACTGGGACTATCTCAGTTTCTGGAACGGTTCCATACGCACCATACGCCATAAATTGTGTCATTCATTTACTTCCTTCTATTTTCGATCATTATATTTACCTATAGACTTCTTGTGCACCCACAAAGTAGATTTATGATTCATGCTTGTAATTCATTATTCGTTAAATGCCTCGTACTTCCTGTAAGGTGGGTCTTCGACTAATGAATTTATAAACTTACTAGCTGACCCGGCAAACTTTGTTCCGCCTCGCTTTGCTCTTGTGATTGAGAAGCACGAAGTCGAGTCATACTAACACGGCGCTTTTCACGTGCAATTTTTTGTTCTTCTTCAGTCCTTTCATTCGCAATCCTTCGAATCCTAGTTGCATTACGGTTTTGTCGGATAAGATTTGATCGTTTTGATCGCTGCATGTTGAGTGGGGAAGCTACGAAGCATCGCACAAAGAAGAGACGGAGAAAACTCATTTAGTATCTTCCAAAGAAGTTTTCACTTCAAAAAGTATTAAAAAAAGTATCCTACACTTACTAAGTCTTATTCAAACAAACACATCAACCGGGCAACTTCAACCAACACGTACAAACCCACGCACGTCTATGCTTAGGGGGAAGCTACGAATTGCACAAAGGGGAGACGGAGATAATAGAAAACATTATATTTGTGTGCTCTTTTTTTCCCGTAGGCTAAACCATATAAGCGAATATGTTTGTTTCCTTTTACACTGATTTGGGTTGCGGTTTCCTTTAAAAATGTAACGTTTCACGCACGTCTATGCTTAGGGGACGCTACGAATCGCACGTCTATGCTTAGGGGGAAGCTACGAATTGCACAAAGGGCAGACGGAGATAATAGAAAACATTATATTTGTGTGCTCTTTTTCTTCCGTAGGCTAAACCATATAAGCGAATATGTTGGTTTCCTTTTAGTGTCGTTTAGTGTTCTCTAAAGGAGTTTTCACTTCAAAAAGTATCCTAGTAACCTTCTCCAAACAAAAACATCAACCGGTCAACTTCAACCCACACGTACACACATACACACGTCTATGCTACGAAGCATCGCACAAAGAGGAGACGGGGATAATAGAAAACTTTGTATTTGCGTTCTCTTATTCTCCCGCAAGATAATCCATATACGCAAATATGTTTGTCTCTTTTTAGTGTCGTTTAGTGCCCTTTTAGAAAAGTTTTCATTTCAAAAAGTATCCCATTACCTTCTCCTGGCCCTAAGCTACCTTTGCCGTTCTTTAGTTATAATGGAGTTAACCAACACGACTTTCTTTTATATATATACTAGTTAACCGGGCAAACGTTGTTTTGCCATATAAATTATTTCAAGTTTCTAGATAAATTTTAGTGTAGACAAAAAGTAACTTACTTATTATAAAAAATAGGGGTTGGTGATAAGAAACCAAAAATTTAGGGTTGCATGTATATTTTAATGCCACATTAAAAAGATAAAAACAAAAAATTTCGACCAAAATTTAAAAAAAATTAAGGGTGAACAACCCTTATCACTTAGAGATATGAAGTTACCGATTCTCAGACCTACTGAATACGCATATAAAAATTTTCTTTGAGCGGGATGAAAAATGATTAAATTACTAAAATGGCTATAAAGAAATAGGGGTTGGTGATAAGAAGCTAAAAATTTAGGGTTGTATGTATTTTTAATTCCACATTATAAAAAAATAAAAACAAAAGAATTTGTCCAAAATTTAAAAAAGTTAAGGGTGAACAACCCTTATCACTTAGGGTATGAAAAATAGATGTTAGCCGATTCTCGGACCTACTGAATACGCATATAAAATTTGGTAAAATCGGTAAAGCAGTTTCGGAGGAGTATGGAAACAAACACTGTGACACGCAAATTTTATATATATAGATATTTAGCATCTATTGACATTAAAAAAAAATTACGAAAATTGCTTCGAGCTTTATAAATCTTATCACGTTCATCTTATTTCAAGTGTTTACCAATGACAAACAATTTTTAACGACAAAGTCTATGGTAAATATGATTGTGCAAGATTGAAGTTTAATTATTATGATTATACAAATGATATAAACTAGTTTTGTGTAACTCATTACTCAAACAATAGATAACTCAATTAAAATTATTTGCATCAGTGCTTTTTTAGTCACTGCTGCATTTTAGAATGTACGTCCTAAATATTGAAATTGTTACTCGCCGGAGAACAATTACATCTTGTTTCGCTGAAACTGTACAACACTATCACTTGCCGATTGCAAATTAACTATCTCATTAATCTAGCACTCGTTGTGCACGATCAAGACAGCTGGTAAGCTACAGTTGACACTCGCGGATGCCTCTAGGCTGTCTATCTGTATCTGTGCCGAAAACGCGAAACGAAAACAACGCAACACATGGGTGCGTGTCCTGACTCGTCCCCGAGATGCAAGCCTGTCATAATTAACCGAGCGGCGGAGAAAGATTTTATTAAGAACGAGTTTTCGAGACGGCCGAATCAAGCCACAAGGCGCATTATTTTGCTCTCTCTTCTTTTCGGACTTGATCTTGGACGTTTCTTCAAGATTGAGCACCTGGTTCGGACATGCCGTTGCTCCGACGACACGAGTTGTCATTACGTCTTTGACGATCGCACGTGACCGTAAACAAATACAGCGGCGACAATCAAGGCACGAGCTTTGTTTGTCTAATAAAAAAATACGGCAAATTAGTTGTGCGGTGAAGTGCGGTAAAATTTACGTGTGGTGAATGTGGAAGAGTGCACGTGGTTGTACAAAAGTTACGCAGGCAAATGTTGAATTGGCAGGGCAATGGGGATTTTCAGTCTGTTGTGGATACGAAAAGCAATATTAGGTAATGAATCAAATTATTATTTACAATTTATTAGCTATAAATCAATTTGTTGGGTGTAATTATCTCTTATAATCATTTGTTAATGATTATGGGCGTGAAACAAAATTTGGCTGCGCTATACCGATGAAAAGTTTTTGAATGTTTACTTTCGTTTTGTTGTAAAAAAGAAAATAATGATCGTGTTTAAAATATTTAGTGTATTAGAAAGTGTGTTTACTTTGTTATACACTTTTTTCGCAAGTTTCGGGCGTAATTAAGCCATAGTGCAAATATTTGTTGATAGGTTAATGAACATTTAATTGTTGCCGTTGTGTGCGTCGGTTATGCCGGTGAATAAATACAAAATGAAAGAATACAATAAAGTTACGTGCGTGAAAAATGTATAATTGTTATGAAATTAATATATATGAATTTGTTTACATTCAATTACACCGCGCGCATTTTTTGTGGACTTCTTTTGTTCACGATAGTTTAATTGTCTTGGCTCCCAAATTTTAGAGTTTAATGTCTCGCCTCGTTTTTTTTTATTGATATTTCACACTTTTTTTGTTGGCATTTATCGTAATTGGAATCTGCATGCATTTTAATTTGAAATGTATAACAAAACGAGCAATTAGTTACACAATTTTATTTATATCTTGATTTAGGCTGGTTTATTATGGAGTTTTGGGCGTTTCTAAGAATTAAATTTAAAATTTTAAATATTTTTAACGTTTTATTACTGATTATTTATGAGTTTTTATATTTCTCGATTTGTTTCTCTGTTTTTTGTTGTTTTTCCAAGAAATTTAGTATTTTTGTTGTCCGCGAAGTATACTAACCCGATTTTTTGCTTTAAATTTAATGCTGCTGCCCTGGTATGGAAAATTTTATTAAATTGATAAAAGAACATTGAATATACATATTAAAATTTGCACTTAAGGTCAAATACCTTAAATTCTAATTATTATTCACGATAATAACGCTTTTATAAATCATCTACCTGTATCATTGAAATTCCCGGCAGTATGTAAATATGATAACAAATTGATCAATATATCCAGTAGCTACAGGTGTCAGCAGTTAACATAAAAAACATTATAACGTTATGTCACAATAACAAATGTTCTTCGCCTTAGTATCCTCGTATGTACGCTATATACGGCAAGGTTTCTGCATGCGACACAAAAAGTTGTTACCTTTGCCATTTCGACTTTTCTGCGTGTTTGAAAATGCTATGGTACTATTCGTGTTAGCCGCAACTCCTAGGTGATGTTATTAATCGTCCGTGCTCGGCTCGTGCACAGTTGTCGTGATAAGATTGATTTTCTTTTATGCAAATCAACAACACACTGCGCCTGCGAAGAGTATGTAGGCATACAGCACGAAACACTCAGCGGTTACCACCTGGAAAAGTTAATATATACACACATTCGTACATATTAATATTAACACTGGTACACAATGGTCTTTCTGTGCAACATATAACCTACTAACATACAGTGAGGCAAGAAATCGATACAGTCGTGCAGAATATCTATTAGTTGTAAGCAAAGCAAGCATTATACTTATTCATTTAGTAATGTGAATATTTTCATTCAACAATCACTTCGAAAATACAAATGTTTTGTATTATGCTTGTGATTGGTGCAATTTGTCAACAGTAATAAATAACAAGACGGTGATATTTACCTATTAGTTTATGTTTAATCTGAAGAAAAGCAACGGTTTGATTCTTGAGTTATCCTAATCGTTTGTAACAAATTGTTTAATACAACAGATGTCTTAAGCATAAATAATTAAATGTGATTTTACTAAAGTGGTTAATCTTAAGTAGCTTAGTTTCCACTGCGTTATTCGCTATTATTGTAGGCAATTCTGGTGATTTCCAATTCAAGCGTGGTATTAGCACGCTAATTGCATATTAAACTAGGCCCCACAGTAGGTCGCAACACAAACAAAACTTTTTCATTTCTCGTAAAATTCCCTGTTCGACACTTACCTATGGGCCAACTAATTTGAACCTTATGCTCAAGGGAGGTCAAATACAACTTTAATTTACCTAAAATTTGTTTCTCGCTAACTCTGTTTATCATATTACAGAATGGACTATTAGTCCACTAATTTGCTATTTATTCGTGTAGATATATTGTTATTGTAGAGATTTAAGTATTTAATCTCTTTATTAACAAATACCTGCCTTAATTGAATCTTCACTCAAACGACAATTTATTTACTTTGCAATAGATTTAATAGTTGCTGCGTAAACTTGTCAATTGAAACGTTTCAATAGACTGTTGGAAGAGAAACTGTCCATATTTGTATATCATTACGTAAAAAATCGCTGAAGTAAAACCCATCTGACTTATTGAATCCATTATTCCGGTGCCTCAAGATGACCGTCGATTTCGCGAGAGTCTCTTTGCATTTTCACTTTTTCTTAATTGACGATATTTGGCATCCAGCGCGTTTAGAAAATCTCAACAAACCAGTTTTGCAATGCACATTCGAGTTTCCTAGATGCTTTATGAAGAAATTTAGTGACAGCTTTAAATATACTTCAACAATCTGTTTAATGTTTAACGATAAATTGCGTTTGTGAAAATATTTATTGTGAGTATTTTATGAGATAGAAATGTCAAGTTTAAATTTTGCGAAAATAATTTTTAATTTAATTGGGCTTAAATGCATTTATTTGTATTTCTAAGCTCTTAGGCATTTATTCATTTATATTTTGGAGCTACTTAACATGCCGTAATTACCCACGTTATCGTTTTTTCTGCTCAGTAGCATCCTCCATTATCGTCCGAACGCGCTTACACCATTGTGGTTGACGACTTGGCGCATTCCACTGACATTCAGTGGTGCGCGATTTTTTGCAATACCCTTGTTATGCATGACTACTTGTTTTTGCCATCAATTGCAGCTTCTGCGCCTCATCGTTGTATTGCACAGCGAGTGTATCTTCGTTTTTTTTCTTCTCTGATCGTCTTCTTCAGAGCATCGCCACGCTGACAGCTTCTCGGAAGCTCTTACTTAATCCTCGCGCAATTACACTCGGGCTTTGTATAGACTCATCTTCGTTATTTCTTTCACGTATTTTCCTATTTCATTGGTGCGTCAGCTCATCATATGGTATGACATCGATGCGTTTGCAATAATGAATCTTCTATAGGCTGTCGGTTGTGGCTTTTGTTTAATCTCCACTCATTTCAACGCGCAAAAAAATCCACTGAGTGTCTAGTCAATCTCTGCTGATATTCGCAACAATGCATAGTTTTTTGCGTTGCTGTTGTTGTTGTTGCGCTTCTTGAGGTGTAATTTATGCATTCGATGAGTTCGCGTACTTACGCCGCTGATTCGACTAAAGAGTTACGGTTTATAAGTCGGCTAAAGACGGGCGTCTGAAGAAGCGCGCGCGCCAAGACACACCATGTGCCTTTGCGTGGTGGTCGTCGGTCTGCCGTTGGCGTCCTCGAGCGTACCACAAGGCACAACAAAGTAGTTCGCGATCTGTTGCCTTCCTTTGCGGACGGATATTCCACGTATTCGGTCCGCGCGCGCGCGCGCACATTAACGAATACAGACGTGCAAGTAAAGTGCCGGCGTTTCCTCTTTCGTTTAGTACTTGCCTCACCGTCGACTTCCATTCTTGTGCCGGCCGTAAAGCTTATTTCATGCATAAATTAACGCGTTTTTAACAGTAATACTCGCTCATTTGGAGCGCATTCGACGGCGAAAAAGTCATCCGAAGACGAAGCAAAAAATACCTACGTGCGGGATTTTGATCACAAAATATCAATGTAAACGCGGAGAAAAATCAGTGCGGTGTCACGAAGAAGTGATTTGCGTGTCCGAACAAGTAGGTGGTTGGCGATTTAAGTTGGTGGTGAACGATCGAACGTGGGTGCGCATTGAGAAACATTTGTGACTGTGCCCAGCTTGTTATAGTTATTTATTGAGTGATAGTTGGATATTTTTGTGTGAAATTACTACGAGTGTCTAATATTCAAAGGAAACATGTTGACCTGTAAAGCATGGTTGTGGTGACTTCCACTGAGATTTGTATTCCGGTTACATATCGACAGAACTCTCTTCGTGGAAGGTAAATTAATAATCATTTTTCTTCATTTCTGTTATTGATCTTGCTTGAAATATTGTTCAGGATGTTGCTTCAACAACCTTGGCTTGTTGAAACAACGGAATCATCTTGGTATCTCTTTATCTTTATATCTACCTGATGTTACATCAGCTCAAATCATCATTACTCTTTGGATGCTTAGCTTTTTTTCACTTTTTTTCTTCTTGTTTTTAACTTTTGAAATGTGCATCACTTGCGCATGTATCTAATACAGTTTTTTTTTATCTAATTTACAAATTACTAAGATAAAAGCGTATAAACTCTATGTTACCACATGTCATATCGACACTACAATGCCAAGCAGGAACAATACGGAAACGTTGCGCATTCAAATTGTGTACACATGTAACTCTTTCGCTTTGTGCATAAATTAACACCTCCGAGTTACGACGCATTGTTGTTGTGGTTGTAATTTCCTCCATTATAAGTATAATGGCATCACTGCAATGTGGAGCGCAGGCATCCGCCACAGGAGGGTAGCTTGATTGACTATTGAATTTTTTTGCGCTGGAATTTATTTCTTGATTTGTTTCGTGGCAGATTGCCGGCACGACGGTGAAGATACAGTAATATTGTAATTAAAGCAGTTAATGAAAGTAAACTGCACTTGGATTATAGCAGAACCGTTTATCTTACAATTACACCACGCCGAGTGCTTTGTGTTTTACTTTTCAATGAGATTCTTAATTTGCGCTATAACATGTTATGAGCTTTATTATGAGTTTTATATGCATTTATTACTTTACCTTACCTTACGTGGATTGTAGGTTGAGTTAGTATATTTAACATAACCTTTATAGGAAAATATTTTTGCTTAGGTTTTTTGTATTATTTGTATAAAATTTTAATTCTTGATTTTAAATTCCTATTCTTCTGATATTAAATATTTAAGCATACCTACTTTTGCAATTATACCTATTACTAATTAAAATTTATTTATTACTGTTTTTTCTGTACGAAAAATATAAAAGTCTTTTTCAGTGACAGTGACAGTTAATTAGGAATTATTTCATTAAGTAATCAAGCAATTTTCTGCATATTGTCACCTTATCATAAACAGCATATGAAATTAGTACGCAATTAAATGCGTAATTTTACATACGTCTCATCGAGTTTAATCGTAACCTTTGCTGACCGTCTGTTTCGACCAAATATGGTATTACAGGTACTGAGGTACATCTTCTTCTCTTCTCAATTAAGTTTATTTGCCAATTATTCGAACGCACTTCACTTTGCGTTCGGCAATAAATTATAATTATGAATATTAGTCAGCTATTTGTATGATATGCATGGCGTCGTGTTTGATGCTGCTGGTGCGTGTAAATTTCCTGTCTGATTTCGAAATTAGAAAGAACTCATTTGCATATCCACTTTCCATAAATCGTAAATCATAAGGTACCAGACGGAATTTATAATAATTGTGTTTATGAGTGATAGTTAACAGTTATTTTTTTAAGAGTCGATGATTACAGCTGAAATGTAATACAATATTGCAGCTAATTTTTATCTCTTTGTCGGTTATTTATTCATAGATGCGCTCATAAATCAGTTGAAGTGCGATTACACTTTTGCTCGGTTTACATCGCGCCAATTGCGTTTTACATACAAGACAAGCCTGCAAACTAATTACGACAAGATATATACGTAATTGCGCATTGTTATGTAAAGTGCACTCGGGTAGACTATCAAGTTCACGTACAACGTACATAACATTATCTATGGCTTCAATTCTAAGATTGCGGAATTATATTTAGACAAATTGTTTATTATGGGAAAATTCTTCAGGTACAAACACACAATTGACAGTGATATACCTAGGCATGCTGGCTTAGTGTGATAATTATTATTATTATGAATTAGTCAGTCTGGAACTATTTGCTTTAACATAGTTATTCACTTAACGATGGATTTTAAAAAATTATTTGTTTGTATAACTTTTAATTTAGGCGTTCAAATAAATCTAGTAAAGTTAATTTATAAATAAAGTGTTAGCCTGTAAAAATTGAACTTTTGCTGTTATCGTATTAATATCAATTCTTTGATAAATGTAAATTTGGTTTTACTTGAGTTTGTATCTATAATTTAGGCAAAAATAATTTCCGTCGGAAAATTAATTTTCGAAAGTTTGTTTTAAATTGAATTCGTTCGTGAATTCTAAATTTTGACACATGCTTTTATCAATGAAAGTTTTTACAATGAAAAAAAAAATTTGTTTGGAAATTTAATTTAAAGTAATATTTATTAATTATTTTGTAAATATTTATAAATATTCAATTAGAAATTGAATTTTTGGTTCAGTGTGGCACATAGTACTACCTTGCGTTATGCAAAAGTAAACATTTGATTAGCATTACCATAAGCAATATAGGCAAATCAGCGAGAATTCAGACGGGCGTATTATTTGTGGTACGTTTAATCGTGCCTTTTGTGTTCTAATTAAGATCGCACACGCATTAATGCGGCGCGCCGAACACTTTATGCTCTCTTTCCTTGCGATTCGAGCAGCGGTTTAAATGTGTGCTCCAGCCATTCGAATGTGTATAATCAGAGTTTACCTTTCGAGTGGTCTAATTAAAAATTTAAATCGTTGCATATGCCGAATGGGTAGTATTAAACAGCTTTATTACAGGTATCGCGTTCTTTAGTTTTGGGCTTATTTGTTATTTTGCCTATTGTTTACCTGTGGCCGTCAAGCACGTGCTCATAAAAATTATACACATAAATTTGAATAAAAATAATATGTTGTACCGTTTAATTTCTAGTAAAGAATTTGTTGATCTATATTACTTTTCAACACGGTTTTGATAAATTATTGTTTTGTTTCCATGTTTTTTTGCAAATATTTTTGCAAAAGTTTTATTAATATGGAAATAATTCAAGGTTTTGCTAAAATATTTGCAAAAGACATTAGTCATATACTTACACAAAATAAAAACTAAACAAAATCTTTATATTTAACAAATTATTATCTCGCTAAATCAATATCAACAAGAAATAGTATTATACGCGTAAAACACGAGATGATATCATCAGTTCCGCCCAATTAAACATGTTACAAATAGATGCAATTTTGTTGAGTCATTCACCGATAGTCTCACAGTTTGTACCATGCTCATGTTGTTATTTGATTTAAGTCAGTTTACTCTAGGATGAAATCTCTTCACGATTGAATGCAATGACGACTTGTGATAGCTTTGTCTCATGCATTGCCAATTGAATACACCGCTCTGCAACTTGTAGGAATCAGTCGTTTATTTTTATCTTCAAATACCGGTAGCGTCTTCTGTGAAGCGTACATCGTGTCATAAACAACCGTCATCCTCTAACACTGCTCACTGTTTATATAGGTTCACATTTCCAAAGCGTGTATGGTACAAATTGTCGTCCTTGATTAAACTAGCATCGCCACTTTCGATCGTGAACGTTACTCGACAGTTTCCTAACCTTACCTAAGCATAAGAAAGTTAATGTCAACTGTGTGGTGGCTGCGCGTTCAATGTCAGTGATGATGTTTGAGTTTGATTCTTCGTTTAACGGCAGTGAAATACTTTTAACATTTCATCATTGTGGCTGCGTGCGTTTTCTTCTCTTAATTAATGACCAGTTAAGAGGCGAGACCATTTACTCTCCTTATGGTTTATGCGAGTACTTAAGTTGCAAAAAGGTGGACGATAACACGTACGCACGAAAGTGAAGACTACTGACAACTGACGCACCTGTAACAGATTGCTTAATTAATTGGGAATTTGCATTAAACATGAGTTTAATTTTTTCAAAACTTATATATCTATAGATATAGTATTAATTAAAAATTCGGCTTAAAAAGCTTTACGCGACACTAAACGCAATGAAAAATTTACTACGAAATTACATTCCTATAAATTCCAAATTATAATTATTTGAATTTTTGGCGATATAAATTCCTATGTGCATGAAAGTCACACATTAGAACAATCCATTTCGTCGGTGAGTGTAAAAAGTTTTTTTACTTGGAATCGTCGTAAACGGTAATTATAATAGCATCGGTTGTTTACGTTGGGGGAATAAATAGAACGTGATTTTTATGTTCTTCGTTCGTTTATTTACCTATTAATTATACACGGCCTGTATTTTGCATGGCCGTATTATTTGTTATGGTGTAGTTTACACATGAAACTAAAAGTTGTCTGTGTTGGAGCATCCTGTATATAATTGTACGGTTGTCTGGCATACACTTGCCACTAATGCGCGTATTGCTTAACTAATAATTAATTTTAATTAACCGGTCACTAATTAAAATTGTAATGGCGTGTACCATCCATACTATATTCTAGGAGAATCTAAATTAATCTAAATGATTTTCTGATAGACAATAAAGTTAATATCTATGATTGTAGCTTGTTTCTTCTATTCAGTGTTAATACTGAAATTGCTTTTGTCAGAATTTTATTGATAATATTGGGTTAACAAAAATAATTTTTAGGAAAAATGTAATAATTGTAATAATCACTTTTAGGCATACAAATTAATTAGGACATCAAATTTAGAATTTGATTCAGTTTATGTCTATTTTTCAAAGAATTATCATTTTTGCGTAAATAGTTAAATTTTAGGTCCCTATATTGCTGTTTTAACTATGTTTCTAAGTTAGAACGTCTAGCAACAATATAATAATTACAATGTAAACATTGACAAGATCATAAAAATATAGTATTCTTCGTTAACTTCACTTTGCGTGTTGGTTTTAATGTGAGTCGTGATTTGCATACGATGATCTCTTACACGCAACGACTTTAAAGCGAATGTAAGAGTCTGGATTAATCAAAGCGTCTCACCAAGAAAAAAGAAAGAAGTGAACGCCTTTGTACTTAGTTAATATGGATATTTTGCAATTAAGTTCAATTTATAATTTGTGAATAATTTAGTGCAAGTGACTGCACACCGTTTACTTCCAACAGCATTAAAAAAAGTGCACGCTAAAGAAATCGCAAGAGTTTTGCGTAAAAAGGGAGGAATAAACCTGCAAAAAGTTGATTAAGGTCAACAAACTTTATGTTTATATATTTTGATGTGTATCTCGTTACGAAATCACATAAAATAAATTGTGTGCTTGATTACGTCTATGCTGCTGCAGAAAATTCCGCGCTTAGTGCGTTTTTAATGTGACAATTTTCTGTCTGTCAGATGGTCACACCGTTGATATTATGGCCAATGACAACATTCCGGTTTTTATGTAATTTTACGCTCAATTGCACGTATCATCATCATATACCACTTTTAAACATATATGCTACCTACGGTTTCATAAAACGCTTACCGTAACTTTTCGCGAAGGTTCTACACGGCAGAAAGTACCTAGCGAAGTCCAAATTGCAGCAGAGTATGAATGTGCATACACATCCGTAGGCAATAATTATTGTGGAAATTGAGGAATGACAATCATAGCAATTCGGCGCCGTGAAATGCAGGATTCTATCACGTAACATAAGCGAAGAAATACAACGGCGTACATTTTTCCACTGCAATCATCCTGATCTTGCGTGTTGCGAATATTTGCGCGAAGAGAAGATTACACGCCACTTTGGCAAATCGCTCGTCGCGGATGACCTGACGTAACGAGGCGAATAATATTGTCAGTTGCGGAATTGACGGAAACTGACACTTTGTACTTTTGTACTTACATTTCTCATGGACGCGGTGGACGATGATAGAAATGCGTAATTTTGTTACGTTCCCGTTGGTTTTGTAGATATTTGCAGTATTCGTATAGCAGGATTAGTACACATGTTGCGAATTTGTTCATTTTGATTTACAGTTTTTGACAGTTTAGACAAGTATTTCTCGACATTTCTTAGTGAAGTAAACGTTCGTGTAATTGAATTACCTTCAACTATAAGATTATTCTGATTTTTATACGAATCTAAATGATGCTATTAACTGCTTCTTAATGTAGATAACAAGGTTGTCGGCATGTACGTACCATGTTTACAGATTACATTTGTTCAAAGCCAAACAAATATTGCTGTTGATAATAAATGAGGAGACAAGTTCTTCATAAATATAGATGACTCTAGAGCTGGTTTATATATGGAAGCCATAGTAAAACAAAAACTGTCTCTGGATTTAATTACAACTATCTGCAGGCGAGTCCTGAATTCACTTTATTTAATTGTTGAATGCCGTCAACATATACCATAGTCTCCTTTAATTCAATAAATAATTATTTATATTTTGAAACTGCGGATATTTTTTGTGTTAAAAAGATATACAGCTGTCATAGAAAGAAAATCGAAATAAATCTCAGAGTGAAAAGATGTTGGAAAATGCGAAAACCGTAATGGCTGTTTGACCCACGTTGTTTGCGCAATAAATTGATTCCTGCAAAATTCACCGCCTTGCATTGTGGTCATACTTATCTGAGCTCAACTGCTCATCAAAACGCCATCGTTTATTCATGATGCGTAAACGACTTGCTTTTTCCTTGCGTAGTTTTTTCTCTCCTGGCGTCTTTTCAATGAAAGTCGTTTATATTTATGGGAACCGCGCGGCTGTGTACTTTACAACAAAGCGCAGTGAATTCAATTGCGATGAGCGGTGTCGCGAATCCTTTATCAAAGAACTAAGAACAAAAGAGCGATCGTAAGGAAACCATCTGAATAGAGGGATGCAAAAAGTTTTAAATACCTTCCGCGTACAAAATCTCACAGTATTAATCGGTATTTCATGCGTTTTTGCTATTATTTTGTAGTTTCTCTAGTTTAACGGTTACGACAGATGGTCTTTTATGATGCGCATTGGGTTGCCTAACTCTAAGTATAAATATTCACAATTTTTACATGTTTTATGTGAAATGTTATGCGAAACATTTACTAATTTAATTTTTATCATTTTAGATTGAAAATCCAGTACGTAATGCCGTCGGCTCGACTCACCCTCCGCGAGGAGGATGTCGTGCGACTGGCGCTCGAATTCCTACACAATCGTGAATTACACATTACCCAATTGAGTTTGGAGCGTGAGACGGGCGTCATCAATGGCGGATACTCCGACGACGTTCTATTTCTTCGACAATTGATCCTGGACGGGCAATGGGATGACGTGCTCGAATTTATTCAACCGCTAGAGGCGCTCAACTCTTTTGAGATGCGCAAGTTCAGCTATACGATACTCAAGCACAAATACATTGAGCTCTTGTGCATCAAGTCGGAGGCGAACATGCAGGGTAGCAGCGTCGATAATGCCGTCGAAGAGGTCGTCAAGGTGCTCAACGAGCTCGAAAAGTACGCGCCGACGAAAGAGGAGCATTCACACATGTGTCTGCTTCTCACGCTGCCCCGACTCACCGACCATATGAACTACAAGGACTGGAATCCGAGTAATGCACGCGTTCAATGCTTCCGAGAAGTGTATCCATACGTCGCTGAATTTCTCCCCGGCGACCGCAAACCGACAGACGCGAACGCCAACACGAGCGCCAAAAACGACCGACTTATTCAGTTAATTATCAAGGGCATACTCTACGAGTCGTGCGTTAATTACTGCCAGGCGAAAGCCACCGGAACAAAGGATCCACAAACGCAGGACATGAATTTCGCAAAGCTGCTGGATGGCAGTGTGGGTTTCAGCGACTCTGATTTAAGTCTGCTTAGTTGGTTGCAGAGTATACCACCCGATACGTTTGCTGTACCATTTGAACAAAGAACTCTGAATGTAGACGTGGAGCGATTGGAAAGACCATCGCTTGAAACCTCTTGGACGGAGCACATGCTTGTCACACCGATCAAACCAAAGACTTTCCCGCATTCGGCGATGCCCTTCACACGACCGCGCTCCGCCGCCGATGCAATGACACGTTCCTTAATGCCAGCGCTGGATGGCCTGCCCAGCGGTTTGGGACACAATGCGAATAATGGTAATCCACGTGCGATGGCACTGAGCACTGGTGATATCAGTGCGAATCCAATGACTCGCTCTAGCTTTGCGAGTTTTCACTTAACCGGAATCAAAAATGCCAAAGCGATGAACAGCTCGGTGGATAGGTTGTTTGAGAATGAAGGAGAGGTGTTTTTGAGCAATTCATACGCTGATTTTCAACAATTGCCTTCTATACAAGAACAAACTAGCACGCCAAATTCGAAACCTGCACAAATACAGCGGACAAGATCGAAAAGCCCTGAGAACAAATTGCCGCAGACACCGGAGCATCGAGGCAGAGAGTCGCCCGGTTCTATCGGCACGTCGAGGTCCTCCCGGCGGGATTCATTGAATGAACGACCCGTACTCAATGCAGCGCACAATATTGTGCTAACGCCGCCCGTGCCACCCAGCGATGGGACGAATCTCGAGCAAAGCTTTAATGGGGATTTGCTTAAGGAATTTCAAAAACAGAAGCAAAAAGTAATGGAGACTATCGCGCTAAGGGAACGCGAAAGGGAAGAGTTATTGAAGCAGATAAATCTTTCATCGGAACCAAATGACATGTAAGTAACTTTTATATTATATTACTTGGTAAAGACATAAGTACAGTTTTATGATAGAGAGATGAGAATAGTATTTCTAGAGCTGCGAATACTATTCCAAAATATATTACATACTGCTTAAAACTAATTTAATATTGAAGCACAATCAATAATCTCAACTACGTACATTGATTTATGTAAATTAGAATTCAATTTAAGCTGCCATATTTTTATCTACCTACAATACAAGAAAATATTCAATTAGAAACGAAAAATTTGAATAAAGTATTGATCTGATTTTAGTTCTAAGAGTAACTAAGCAAGGAAAATCTATCTCTACATACATTAATTTAGAATTCAAAACCAAATTGATTTCTGAGTCATTAAAGTACCTAATTATTTTTTTGACTTGTAATTACTCATAATCACAACATATTTGCTATCTTGATCCCAAAGGTTCATCTTTTGATCCAGATAATATCATAAGTGGATACTTACAAATGTTTATTTTTAACATAGATAACATTATTTTCGTTAACTAGGAGACACGTAGGCGCGGTGAATATTTCCCTGTGATTCATCACGCTGAAAAATCTTTTACAAGCCTTTTGTTTTAATGTCGCTCATTCATAACATCTATTTAACCTCGGCAAAATGATGAATGCACCTGCTTATCTTATCTAGCATCATCAAGGCATTAAATTTTTACACAACAGCGGAAAGCAATAAACTCGCCTTTTTAGCTTTGCCGCAAGAATACAAAACAAATTAAGTTTGTTTTTATTATACGTGTATTAACCTTAAAAGAATAATAGATATAAATTTACGTTGTATATTTAATAGAAATATTTTTTTTCAATGCATACAATGATGAACAGCCACATTCTTTCGCAATCTGTTATGCATAATAATGACTCATCACGGAACACAAAATAATTTTCTGAAATTCTGACATTAACGTCAAAGCAAAGCAAATAATACAAGTTTCTTTTAATTTGCATAATTTTTTAAATCCATACTACTAATTTTAAACCTTTGTTTTTGCATGATCATGTTTCTCATAACATTTAAGATTATCTGCGTGTTAGTGTGATGTGTTTGTTTTAATTACGCGGATTATCGTATGTTATGACATACGAAAGTGTTTACAACAAGTGTTTAGGTTTGATTAGTATGATGATATTGTCTCCCGCGAATTTGACGCTGCGGTATGAATCCGCGATTGTGGAGTGCCGAGAAAGTGTTACATACAGGGTAATAAAATCATCCTCACATTTACACTGGCATTAGTAAATTATTTTACGACTGCAGACCTTGTAGATTCGTGTTTTTCATTACACGATGCGTAAGCGCTATGAGCCGCAAGGCACGAATGTATCTGCTACAATCACAATGAGCATGTAAATGTTGTCATTCCGCGGAAAATAATCAGTAGCTTGATGAATGTTCGTGGGTGTTGATGTGAGTGCGACGCGAATTACATCTCGTACGCTCGGCGTGCAATTGTGCATCGGTAATTGGTGCTAACTTAGTAATAAATCGTACTTTTCATACTGCGCTTCAATTCAAATTTGAATAGTGGGTGACTTTGGAAAATGCACTGTGTTTGTGTTTGGTGAATTTAAATTTAATTATAAATAGTGTTGTTTCATCACTACATTTTCAGTTTTTCGCGAAACTTTGAACAGATTAGTGTTTGAAAAAGTTAGGGTATTTACAAATCGATTGCACGCTTTCATTTTAAGTAGTTACCGATTCGTTTACCGATTTATTTCGCGAACGTGACTGTTGTCCAAATTTTCCAACTGACACCGATGACGAATTTTATTTAACAATAGCTATACAATTGGACGAAATTCATTCGCCGTGAACGTAATTTAATTGATGTGGTCGTTTGGTCCAATTAAACACAGTTTAAATTTCCGTACAAGTAAAACGATTACCAGTTTGTCAACGCTTTCGCCTGCTGCTGATTCCCCGGACAGGAATTCGATAACCGAATTGTTGTGAATGTTTGCGAACATCGTAACGATTTATTCTATTCCAAGTTCGCGTGCACTGCACTACTGAAGACATAAAAAACTAAATAGTTCTGTGTACAACAATTAAATATAATTTTCTATAAGTGTGTTTTTATAAAAAAACGAACGAATTTTATTGAGGATTTCCTTTGGCGCGTTAATTTTACCGACAGAGGAGTGGAGCACACCGCGAAGGAAAAATGTATTATAACAATTTTCTGCATCCACCGGTGCAAGCCAAATACAACGAGCATGGACATAGAAGGGTTGTCACTTATATGGACAGGAGTAATTGCAGCGTGCATGGACGACATGCACATCACGAGGATAGAAGTGCTCGCGAGCAATGCAGTGGTGCGGTTCCAAGGTAAAGTGCTCTCGATTAGGAAGAGCCGGTGAAAAACTTTGTGCATATAGTGCAGCAAGCGCAATGATGGATTGCTCTTTAGGAATTTTGCATTGAAATTATTGTAATATGGATAATTAAAGTGATCTGGAATGTAAAGGACGGATTCTTCAAGTTTTAATTGTTCAATTGCATCATTTTTGCAATTATATACGAGGAGTAGTAATTATTTTTATTCTTGAAGTAATTATATGCGAAAATAATTGCTACAGCAACGGAAAACAGAATTTTAGAAATGTTTATTCTTCGAAAGGTGTTGAAAATCAAAAAAAAATAAACATTATCAATTTATTAATAGTCAAATGAATTATTATTTAGTGGTTTTGACGAATATGTTTTATTAATAATTTACATAAATCGGTTTTGTTTTACTTGGTAAACTTGTCATCAGAATGAGGAAACATGCATAAATCAATTGTGAAATGTTGTTTTGCTGACATGACACTGTGGCTTTTCTGTTTACAATTAGCCATTGCTTTAATTTGTATTATTAGAAAAACATTAGCTATTCATATATTAAGCTCACCTATAATCAAATTAATTAACATACATATATGAAGCGGATACTTTTTCTTTGGCGATTAGAATGTAAATAGCCAATGAACGAACACGAAACCACAATTGGGTCTTCCTGTATGCGTTTGCTCCTAGAACAAAGAATGAGAATTAAATTCACATATCGCGATCTAATCTTGACTAGTAATGTTTTTCCGATAATGATCGAAATGGCAATGGGTGGGTTTCTGTAATTAGATTTTGTGGTTTTAATGCGACGGATTATCCGATTGTGTTTATTTTTGAACAATAACTATTTTGCATACAACAAAAAAGTGCAAATTGGTTGCGACTATGATGAGATATTTTGTTTTATAATCTTGGAGTTATTAAATAATTAAATAGATAGTGCATCGGTTTAGATAAACTTTTACTTTTTTCTATTCTGAATTTTAAATTCTAATTTTTAATTTTTTTTTCTTCAGAAAACAACAAAGTGCCAACAAAATGAATGGAATGAATAACGTGCAGAACCGAAATTTGGCTCCATCGCCTCGTCCAAATATTAATGGAAACGACAATTACAGGTACGACCATAAACTTATACTTCTACATAAATTATAGTAGAAAATATCGTTTTCTTTCAAATGTTTAGTGTAGTTTATGTACTTTTCAAGCGATTTCATTTTCTCACGGAAATTTTGATCGAATTGATGTATTGGCTTTCGATTTCTTTTTATAATTGGAAACGAATTCCAACTGTAAACTTTATGGTCGAACATTTTGTTAGTATTTCTTAGTTACTTTTGTATCCAGTCACTCTTAATAACGTTTTTGTGACGTTTAAATGCCAACAATGTTTTTTAATTAATGCTTTTGTTGTGGTCACAATTGCTTCATTTTCAATTTTCATAAAATATAATCTTCTTGAACATAATATTTTCGTTTATTAGCAAGTTAGCGATAAATCTTTTAGGGAAAACCTTCGATTATCCACTTATGGATCATGTAATTAATGATAATTAACCGTATATCTTGTTTTTGTGTTGTTTACAGCAATACAAGTGCAAGTGCATTCATTCTATTTGCATACATCGAAAATATTGACTTAAACATGACCGAACTAATTTGCATATATTTTCAATCTTATTTACAGAACGCCTTCCCGACATGATGGACCATCCGATGGCCTCTATGACGCAATAAAGGTGAGTCCGATTAGATTATATATTTACATTCGCCAACCGCGGGCACACTCGGGACCGGCCCGTGCCTGATTCGTGTTAGTGTAATTATTCGCTGCTGGTTTTAATTGCGTTTTTCATTCGACATTTCAAAGCGCCCACCTTTGCAAAATCAATCATCGCATCAAGTTTTAGCGCGTTGCTACTTTATACTCGTTAATCTTGCGAATGTCATGATTAATTGAAGTTTTGTTATTCATCCGCCCACATGTTATTATCGAACAATCGACTAATCAATTAAGAGAAGTGGATTATTAGATAATAAGTTAATAAAATGATACTTTTGGATACGCAGGTTTAAGGTTTGATGGTTTTTGTCACAGTATGTGACATTTTTGCGCAATATTTCTATTAATAGAAGCTAATGAATTTGTGGAAATTTTCAAGGAAGTACTTATCATTTTCTACTAGTGCTTGAACGTTTTTTTACGTTTTTTACATAAAAATGGCACCATTAGAATGGTCATTTCCAACAATTTTATGCTTACCATAAAAAGAAATGAACAATTAGTTTCGTTTGTTAAATTTATGTTTTCACGTGATGATTCCGCATTAATCCTACATAAAATACACTGAGCAATTAGATGTTATTAATGTTTTATTCATGCGTGCATCGTCAATCACTAATCTCATCAGTTCATCAATGTGGAGAGTCAACTGTATTGATTTATAGCCGGTAATAAATGACATTTACACCGCGATTAGATACGCCGGTGTGATTAATTTCAGATGCATTTAATTACTCATTTCCCTCGCCAATGTTTACGGTTCCGAATGTATTATTTGTTCTATTTTATGTATATTCCTAGGCAATTGCAAATTGGAAATTAATTCGCCGTTTCGAGCACACGTTTCCAACGTGGGACGTTCGCGTGTCTCTTGTTTAGGCGTCCACGATGCGCGTTTCATTATGAATAATATCAAAATCCGTCATAGTGTCTTTGAAACAAGGTCGCGGAAAATCGAATGTTTGCTGCGCAAAATGTGTGTTTTCGTGCCGTTTTAATGTATCCTAATAATGTCGACCATCAGCTAGATAATTAATGATGTATCGTTTAACTAATCGTTTTACTACATTCTCACACTACCAGCGCAAAGTTTTTGTGTTTTGAGCAATCGGAGAAATGATTTCAACAAACAAATTGCGCGGACCTTTCTAATAATCGTGATATGATGTTTTGAACTTTGTTGTTTTTGTTTCTTTTACAAGTTTCTCTTGATTATTTTTACTTTTATTTGTTTTCACACATTTACACATTGGTTATCATCAGAATAAAGATATTTTGAAATTCACGATCGTTAGAGGGATTGTCTATGTACTTAGAAATAACAACGTTGGTTGGTAAATTACAGTAATTTTCCGACTCTTCCTCACCTGTAATACATACACTTAATTTAACATAAAAATGTTACTTTTTGAAGTCTTTAACATTTCCTAGACAGTTTCGTTTGACGAAGATGGGCAGGCTAAAAACTCGCGGCGCTTTTTTATCGTAATTAGTTGTTGGTTACCAGAAATGAAACTTCTAATCGTTACTTCCCTTCACTTTTTCTTTACATTAGAGTACATCATAATGTACCTTTTGAATTCTTTCATTTTCATAATCAGATTTTTTTAATTCTTAAATCAAAGGATGTTTGAATAATATGTTTGTTATTTCGTCTTGTTGCGTAATTAATGCAGTAATGCAAATATAGAGGATGGAGGATGATGATTCATACGCAAGTAAATTACATGTCTCGGACTATACATTGTTCTTAAAATTAAAATATCTAGATAATCGTTATGTGCGGTGTATTATTCTCAGTTGCATAATAAGTATTGTTTATGTTCCTCATCACCTGAAATAATTATAAAATAATTCGAATTTTAATCCTGTTTCATGTGACAATATCGCATACTGAATACAAAATATGAACATTTTGTCATGGCGCCACATAACACAAAAGCCTTGAAAATGATTTTCCATAAAAGGCTCTACATGCAGACGCAACCAGTCATGGCACGCTTATTTTCAATATTTTTATTCTCCAACCTTCTGTATCTGTCGTTTCGACATTATTATTCCAAGTGTCTATAAATATCGACCGAATTGGATATTTCTATTGCTGATTAGTGGCTACCACTTAATATTTTACGGTCGGTCATAATCTATTGCTGTCGCTGTGTCAGTGTGTCTCTTATTCGCTATCGGGTGTCATAAAACGTGCCACCGATCTGTTTTTGGATTCGCTGTTTTGTCAGTTTGGCTGGGCGAGTGGGTGACTCCGGCGATGCTGGCGCGCTGAGCGCAAAAGGTGTGGGAAAGCTGTGCAGAACTGCGTCGCTCGCGCGCTGGAGTTGCCATAACTTCGCATATACTTTACGCGCGCACCTTCAGACACGATAGTCTTCGGTAAACTTACGCCACGCGAAGAGATGAAAAGAAGCGTGTAGACTCTGCTGCTGCGTGCCGCGTTGTTACTCACGTCGCGAAAACATTCCTGCAAGAGGTGCATGGAATTATCAATTATTTTGCTTGGTTTCGAATTTGACCTGCGCATTACACGTAGAATCAAAGAAACAAAAAAAAAACGATGCTTAGTTGAGTACTTTTTGAGGTGTGCGCGTTTCAATCGTTCCACGTTACAGTGTACGTACTTAGTGCTGTTTATTCTTTTGTGGTATGCGTCGCAATAAGTAATAAACATCATTTTAAACCGTTTCCGCCGTTTGCACTTACTCACCACAAGAGTACACTTTGCGGAGGTGCGTCGACGACATTAAGCAAAGCATAACCGGCTAATTTTTCAATTACTGCGCCAACACTAGGCGAATTAGAAGAAGCTAGAAGAAGGACAAATAAAAGCGTCTCTTGGTAGAACAATGGGTACCGCTATAAATCACGCGGCCGCCATCAAACGGCTGGAAGCGCTCTTTGGAGATGTAAAACTGGAGGGCAAACAGCCGCTCACGGAAGTCGTGGAGGTCGAGTCCTCGGTGGACGCCAAGTGCGACGTGCACGGGAAAAACGCGCCGAGACGCGGCTCCCTCGGGAACATACTGCACACAAACAACAACAACAACAACAGCAGCAGCTATCACAATCACAATCGCCGCGATTCACTTTCATTCGTGCGGCAGCGCGACTTTGGCTATCATCACACGATGAAGCCGCACGTAAACGTATTTGGAAGCAACGGTGTGGGACCACGGCGTGAATCGATGCCGGCATTGAATGCCCAAAACAGCTACTACAGGTGAGTCAGGCGAATGAAAATTGTGGGAAACAAACTCAACTCCACACGTACTAAATAAATTACGGTTGACAGGTTAATTGAAAAAACGTACATGCTTAAACACTTCTCGCGACGAGAGTTAATTATAAAATGAGAACTAATCGCACTCATAATACAATAGACACACCTTTAATTAATACTTAATGTCACTGCTATGTCTGTTTGTATTTCTTCGGATGCGAATAACAAACTTACAAATGTGGAAAACACTCAATTCATTCACGCGCGCTCTGCGGTAGGCAAAAGATTTGCTTAATTTTTTACTTGTATTGTTTTCTAAGATTTAATTAACACAATGCTATGCGCGTTTAACTAATAACAATCCAGCTGTCAACTGTAAATTTATTATTACGCACAAATTCAGACGACGTGGTTCTCTGGGCTTGCCGAATACGCCGCCGAAAAAAGAAATCGAGCATCCCAGTCATTTCGCTGCGATGCTACGTCGCGATCCGATGGCATCCTCGATGGGATCGCTGAGGAAAGATGGTACTCTAAATGGACCATGGAACGCTCGCAGGGAATCGCTACCGACAAACTCTTTCCGCAAGGATTTCCTACAAGTCCCCAGCGTGAATGGAACCAGACGTAATACAAACCGTCGCTTTTCGAATGATTCCCTGGATGGTAGACGTAATTCATGGGATCCGGGTCGTCGCGGCAGTTCAGGCAGCTCCATTGGTTGGGAGGACCCGATTTGGGAGGATAAGGTTAGTTTATTCGAATACAATACGATTAATAATAATCTAAACAGCAATGATTGCTGTGTTGAGCATGGAGGAATTGAGAAGACAATGGGTCGTGAAGAATCGCCGATTTTTTCCATCAGTAATATGCTAAAGAAGTATAGTTATAGAGGTATAATGCTTGTCGTGAATAAATCAATCGCGGTTATTGTGGTACACCTGTTATGCGCATTGCGCTGACGCTTGAAGTATACGCGCGAGGCGATCGAAATGAAAAGAAATATTTGTGTTTTCTAATAACACAAACAGTCGGCGAGTCTGGAATTCAAGCGGCTGGCGCATAAATTTCATGCCGTACGACAAATTGACCGTTAGGATTGTAGCGTTTCATGCCGACCGAAGTGTTGGAGCTTCAGCGTGATTTGATGATTCTTTGCTTGCTTTATCTGTATCTCTTCAATGTTTGATTCGTTTTTTTTTGTGTGATGGTGAAATTTTTACTCTCGTGCAGGCAGGAAACTCGCAACTGGCATTTGTGGAATACTTCTATGTTGTTGTTTAATTATTATGATTGGTGTTTATCGTGTTTAGAAGTACTCTCGACAGAAGTAAAGCGAAATATGAATTAAGCAGAATTCAATGCTTATCTATTTTTGAAAAGAAATTCTATGATTGATTGGTCTCTTGCGAGATACAAGCGAAAATTTGATTTAGGTATTAACTTAATTGACGTGTAGGTTGTACATCATAAGTATGTTATGATACAGCGGTTTATGATCGTTTATTATGTCTAATTATTGGTTTTATGGGTGTTTGAAGACGAGCACGTAAAGTGTGCTGTTAATTACGAGGATAAAGTTTATAGCAAGGCGTGAACTGATTTTTTTAAATTTTGAAAATGTATTGGAAATGTATATTAAAATTCAAAAACAAGTATTACTTTTTAGTCACAAAACACAACAACATTAATAACGCAATAAGATGAAAGGATTCCAAACA